TTGAAAAGGTGCGAGGGTACACTGGCCGGAGCGGACGTGTGGAACATATATATATATATATGTTCTGTTCTTTTTTTAAAGATGAGTTTGTGATCAGTTTGGGTTGATTGGATACGAGGACGTTCTTTGGAAGTAAGACACATGTGTTGCAAGGACCTTGTATGAAATAGTGCAACCACCACCTTCAGTTGCATCGCATCCCATACCTTGGATGCTGCCACGAGGAAACAAATGCTTGTCCAGACACTACAACACACTGGCACCAACTGCGAGACAACTCCATCATAGAGCAAGACTGTTCCAATTTCAATAGTCGGCACATGGTAGGATGCTCATGCGATGCAAAGCTTAAGTTTCCCTAAAAATCTCGGAGCCAACATGAATAGAAGCGCGAGCTATCCTGCGTCCATACGTAGTAACTTAGGTAGGGTACTAGCTACCTCTGCCTACTAGCTAGCCACTACCTCCTCCCTACGGCCTACCCCGGCGGGCTAAAAAGGGAAGTGAAGGAAGTGCCAAGGCAAAGGCAACAGTCCAGTGCTACGGGCATAGCTCCGAGGCAGACAGATGGGATGCTCCAGGGATTGAAATGGCAAGAGGACATGGATAGGCGGGAATTGGAATGGATGTTGTTTCTCGCAGTTTCGGCCATAGAATCCTTAGAGATATCCATTGGACAATTGCTCAAATTCGGAGTCTATTTGATCAGGAAGGGTGGCCTCTGGAGAGTAGATAGCTGAAAGACAGTCTCCTGAGATCTTTGGCATTTTTGCCGCACCACCTCTGCAACAACAGGTGTCAAAAGGGCAATACATGTAGATATCTCGCCAGCATCATTAGGTTTTGACGTACGCGGAAACTGTTTTGGGTTGTTACGATAGTGTTTGGGTAGAGGGTGAGCTGGGTGGCTTACAAAGGGAAAGACCAGAGTGGCACCTCCTCATTGACATTGTGACAACGTGCATATTACGGGTTGATTCCGTTTACTTTTATTTTAATTCTTATTGTTACTAGTAGTAAGGCACTTGTTTCTAATAGCTTCTTGTTACTACTAGTAAGGCACCTGTTACTACTAGCGTGGCACTTGTTACTACGCTCGGATTTGGGCTTGAGACGGTCCAAAGAGTGAGAAGCGCAGCTTTGACAGGTTCTTTGCAGCTTTGAAGAGCAACCACTCGAATCCCCGCTTAGATGAGGCCAGAGCGGGTGGAAGAACCAGTAAAAACACCCGTCCTGGAATCACTTTGAATGTTTGTGGTTCATACAAGTGTGAACAACAGATACAGATACTGGTATGTATACGGAGTATAGACATGTGATGTTGGTTTACTGATGTCTATATACTCACAAGTAAGGCAGGTTCCACCGGATGATTTAGATTGGTGGACACCAACATGGCACCATGGTTCCAGTGGCTGTAGCCGTAGCCACTTCGTTATTTGCTTTTCTTGTGCTCCCCACTCCGATAGTGCCACACCTGTCCAAATGGGCAAAATTCATTCACCGTGTTTGTTTTGATTGGGGACGTATCTTCCGGACTCAACTCGAGATAAGACAATCATGATCATGTGACGGTATACTACGTGATTCAGAAGCAGGTGTATAAGGGTCGAGTCGACTTGCCTGTCGTTGGACGTCAGCCTCCCTCTTCACACCAGGCCTGTGCACCATTTGCCTGGCCTTGCCTGTCCGTCGCAAGGCCAAACTCCACAACCTCTATCGCTCCTCTGGAAAGCCCTTCAAGCCCAACATCATGACCAAGGCGGGAGGAGGCTAGTAGTAACAAGTGCACCGCTAGTAGTAACAGGTGCCACGCTAGTAGTAACAAGTTCAAAAGGGGTGGCACGCCGCAGGGACCGCGTTGCGGACGCAGGAACGCAGCATATGGGAACGGTGCGCGGTCCGTGTCGGTCCAGAAGTGGACGGTGCAAATTGGACCGCAAGGAGTACGGAGTAGAGACCAACAAGAACTTGGATCTTGAACGGTTTGGGGATGTTTGGGGCAATCAAGCAACATAACACCAAGCACGTAGGCTGGCTGCAAAGGTATTAACTTCTTCTCCAGTGGACAAGGCATGTTGCAGGAGGCTTTATTCGATGTGAATTGCATGTTTTGGCTTCGTTACGTTCAACATTTGCGAACATTGCTTGCATTGCAAGTGGCACACTTAGCTTACATGAACATGCTTGCACCAAAAAAAGATTGTGTTTATGCAAATTGTTTCTGCATTTTTACAAATCTAACAAGCTCTTGGCCACGGACATTCTGAGTGTCTCTTGTGCTCTGCCGCTGGGCATATTTGTGCAGCCCACAGACCCACAGAGCACTGGACAGTTGCCTCAGACACCACGAGATGCGACGAGTGTCAGAGACTTGCGGGTAGAGACCACGGCAATTCTGAGCTGCTAACGCATCAAAGTGTGAGTGAAGCTTGGCCCCTAATAACTCTTACACATCTCGCAATCAGGGTACAGCAGACGGTCCATTTCATGCTTTTGTGGTGGTATTTCCTTGACTTTACTAACCTTACAGTCATGGTTTCCTCGCGTGTATTCATTATTCCGGTTTTTGAATGGCTCTTGTATCCTCCAACTACAGCTGCTCGCCAGCTTCGGCCTAAATTCCAGGTGTCATGGACTATGGGTAATGCATTCGCAGACCTCTGGGCGATTCTTTACCATGTTGGAAGCCTCAGAGTCCAAGTTCCTTTTGAGAATTTGTGCACCCCAAGAAGCATCAAGAAATGCTTGTCTGGCATCAAAGTGGGGCGAGCTTCTTGTGAGACACCTGTTCCGCATCATTGAGATTTGTCCTTTTGAACGACCCTTTGACCCACTCGCTCAGAAGACACCTCTATATAGTGATCTCTAGCAAGAGAAAGCAGATGGTCCCGTTTGATCCTCAGCTGTTTGGAGGAACATCGCTTTAAGATCTCTCAAATCCAGAGAGAATCCAAGTGGATCTTTAGCTTCGGGGCGGCGGGGCTTTTTCATCACGAGGCCAAGACCCCCGAGTTGCTCTTTGAAGTGAATCAGCTTTGTGGAGGACTCGGATGCCGGTTTAGCAGAGAAACGACCAAAGAAGCAGGGCTTCAGGATACTGGCAGTTTACAGCAGAACTCACCATACTTGCTGAAGTCTTCCGTCGCTTTTTGATTCCTAAATATTGTAGAATGGGCTAGAAGTTTAACATGCGTGTGTTGTATGTTGTTATGTTCCAGGACAAATAATCCGCGAAGCCATAGCAAGCCTGGACATTTTGTGCTTGCTTACCCCTTGAGATTGCAACATCGGCAACATAACATATGCTGCGGGAAGTCCAGTCTCAACTTAGAAAAAACATGTGCTTCAACAGCTCAGAGTATCTGCTGACAATATCAGCTGGGCCAGGGATTCTATAAACATTTTCATAAACGTCAGCATAAACATGCCATCTTGTTACATGTTTATTTTAATACATCGGAGGCCATCGCTAGTAGGTTGGAGGCCATCGCTCTTGGGATGGAGGCCATTGCTATTAGGTTTCATATTCTTCTCCGCAAAAGGGTGACTGAGTCAAATTATGCCTTGAATCTAGGAGCTTTCGCAGAGCTGGTGAAGGAAGAGTGTGATCCACAGGCGAGTTTGTCCCGGATTCCACGATTCAGGTCTCCCAAAAGCAACAGAGTTGCTTCTTTGACAGCCAAGATCTTCTTCCTCATTAAAATGGTTTGTTTGCAATGCTTGCGCCTTTCAAGTCAGTCATTGGATAAAAAGTAATGAGTCTTCGGGTTTTCGTGAGAAGTCTAAGTTTCTGACTTCAAGCCTTGACTTGTCAACCCCCCGCCTACAGCCCTAGCCCTCCACGGCTGGACCAACTATGACCAGCTCTGTTGAGGGTTCAAACAGTGGAGTCTGGAACCAGGACACGTGTGCTGCTTTTCTCGCAAGATGGGCTCGATTAGTTCAAACAGGTCAATTTCTGCAAGCAAAACTCACGATGCTTTTTTCAGTTCTTACTGCATTTACTTTCCTCTTTACCCTCCTCTCAGGACTAAGCGGACCCAAAAAGAGAGCCCTGCCCAGACTATCCTAGACGCCATGGCTGCCATCGAGATGCAAGAGGTGTCCTCCATGGAAAGAGGCCTTTCGACCCCACTGGGAGCGAGGCGTCCCATCGCAGCGATGCTGAACCCCAGCGCTACGCTGGCATGCACTTGCTGCTTTCTGCCCTTCGCCCTGCATATTGGGAGGGTCAAATCATCCGGGACTTCTCTCGGTTCAACCACGGGAGGAAGTAGAGGGTTTTGGCTTTTCACCATCTCTCATTTGGATTGTTTAGCACTGAGATCCCACCATTCAATTCCTGTATCCCTTCTCGCTGATGTTCAGTGGTTGTGACACTGTAGGGAAACGGATTCCTGTGGACGGTGTTGGAATGTTTGTTCGTTGCAAGGATCTATATGCTGCAAATCGTGGGCATTGCAAGAAGTGAGGCTCATAATTTTGCGCTGGCGTGAGCGCAACTCGTCCAAGAATTGACACAACATGTTGATGGCGTTTAGCTTGTTAGGGCAAGATTTCTGCTTCCAACTTGAAGTCTGTTGGAGTAAGGTGCTGATACCCTGGCTTCGGGAGCAGGATTTGGTGCGCAGCTACTTTGGGATCCTTGGACTTGCTTACCTCCCCTCCTTTGCTTGGGCGATGGTGGAATGCTTGCGCTCCAGTGCCGTAGATGTCCGAAGGCAAGCGAAAAGCTGGTCCGAATATACGACTTTGATGGCAAGCCTTATGTGCTTGTGCATCTTTGAACTCATTGCCGGCTTCTTGCTGGACATCATGGGCTCCAGCTATGTGAATGGCCTGAATGCCAATGACCCCTTCGCAGTGTTTCGCTTTGTTTGTGACAGCGCCTTGTCTGTTTTCATGCAGACGCGGCTTTTTGCCTATGCTGATCACATCATGGGCGGGCCCAGCAGCTGCACCAAGAGCTGTTGTCCATGTGGGCGACAAGAAGATCCTTCAAAATGGCAAGCGCCGCGCGGTGCAGGTAGCTGTGTGTTGCTGTCTTTAATGCTTCTCGCAGTGCGTGTTTATCACGACCTCATCCTGTTTCTGGGCTGGAAAGGACACGGTATGTGGCAGAATTTATCGAGTCCAGCGCTCATTACGTCAATTGCTCGGTTTTTTTAGGCCATCGCTAGGTTCAGATTCTCCGTATTCCGTCGTCCCAGGAGCCAGTTCACTGTGGGCAATCGTCCGCTTGGCCCGTGTGATGATCCGCTTCTTGATGGCAGGTGCCAACGCCATACGGAGCAAGGCCTATGCCAACCATCCGCTCAGCGAACACCTTTCTGCTCAAATGAGAAGCAACATGGCCACGCAAAGCAAGATGCTTGGATACGGCAGATTGTTGTGTTTGACATCTCTCGATGCTTCGTTTTTTCGTTTTCTGATTCTGTCCTTCGGATTTTGCATGATTCCAGTCTTGCCTGGTGGACATTTGTTGACGGCACTGGAGGAACGCTTTTTGGGGAAAAAGATCTGCGTCCCCGCGGCGACCCGATGCCAAGGATGTTGATGGTTGCAGGCATCTTGGCGGGTTGCCTCTTGGACGATCAGATCGTCGAACGGCAAGACCCTCGGAAGATCGGATCTAAAGAGGCTGAGGTGACACCTTCGAAGATTCAGAATCAGGTCTAGATCATTCTATACAAAATCTATGTATATATATGACTATATATATATAGAGCTGTTTCGAGTCTAACTTGAAACAAAGAACAGGCCCTGCGTTCTCAGCTAGTTCGCGCGGCAGCAGACCGCACGCTTCTTCAACAATTTAAAGCGCTTTCTGCGGCGTAAACACCCAAAGACCTTGCTCAGGTGTTGACTTCGCGGTGGTTGCGAAGGGCTTCTCTGCACCGGATAAATACTTCCTTGACATCACGGACTTCGAACTGGACGTGATGAACAACCTTTTTACCCAGTGGCTACCAATTACTTTGCTCATCACTGGGATGCTAGGTCTGTGACGAGTCAACTTCTTAAACAGGATCTCCCAAGTCTTACATATTAGTTTGTGTGATTTTGTATGCGTGATATGTTAAACCCTTTGTTTTTCAGATGATTTTTCACAGCCCTTAAGGACCATCGATAAACGAGCTCCTCAGCCCCACATCAATGACTTGAGAGCTTGTGGCTTTGCGAATGGCTTGGTCATTTTCTTCCTCTACCTTGGAACCTTCCTCTTCGGAGCTTGGGGTGGTCGAGCCCCTCCCCTCGCATTCTTGGAAATTTGATCCTACATGGGCAACAGACATCTTCATTCCTTGTTTTCTAGTCATGTGAATGCCACCGGGAAATGTTTGGAATCTGAGGCCCTGCTGTTCCCCTTGTCGGAGAGTGCGGTGCAAGTGAGCCTGATCGGTGGACCGGCGTTGGTCTTGGCGAAGACGGGCGCTGGAATGATGTACTTTTGCTTGTCCATTGGCTGAAGAATGTGTGAAACAAAGGCCCCAAGGAGCGATGGCCTCCAACCTAGCCACGGCCTCCACCCTTGATTTGGAAGGGACATGATTTGGGAAACAGGGTGAAGCCAGTGAAGAAAATCCAAACCAAGAGGTAATGATTGCAGAGGATCAAGCTGAGGAATTTCCAGTTGCACCTGGTGACAGTACAAGCCTCGAATTCATCCACAACTAAGCCCGGGGGCAGACTTCCACCAAATGTTTGAGCTACTTGATTAATGAATCTCTCTATGGAAGCAATTTAATGAGTCTAATCTCTCCATGAAAGGGCTCCAAGTGCATTTCCTTTGGAAACTAGGGTAAGCAGGAGGCCAAAGGGGAAGTCGGGACATGAAAGGGCAAACTGCATCTAAATAGCAACTGACAATGCAATTCCTTGTGGGGGGCGACACCATGAAGCTACTTCACTAAATAGAAGAATCTTGGCAAAGCTGTTGATTAATGCATCCCATTCTTTTTGCTGTAAGGTCAATCTGAAACGATTGTGTAGCCCTTCCCAAACCGAATCACTATGAAAGACTAGGGCAAGAGTGGTCGCAAAAGATACTCATTTGATCGTTTTCCGTACTCGAAGTTTATAGTTCTTTAGATCGGATCAGAAGCTTCATTTGGCAGAGCTTCATCATTGTTTCTTGGACCCATAACAGGCCTGCGCTTTAAGGCCACGCTAGGCTACTTGTGTTTTTCAACACACGTCGGGCTGAGCAGCCACTCACCCTTGGAGAAAAGGGTGGAGTGATGGCCATCATTCAAGGAGAGATGGCCTCCACGCTGCTAAAGACATTGCAATCCACAGCAAATCGTTCCGCCAAAACTGAGGCCAGCTCTGTTCCTCACGGTCTTCCCGTTCGTGATGCATCAGGTACAGAAGACGACCTCCGTGACGATCCTCGTCTTTTGACGCGTCGCAATATGGGACTAGCGAGGGCTGTTGTTCATTTGCCTTTGGAACCGAAGCACCATCCTTCACCGCAATTCCGGCGGACACAATTCCCCAGTTTGATATCCTGTGGCTGATCAATCCGAGGATGCCCATGTGGCCAGGAGAAGGGCTCACCTACATCACTTACCATCGGAACGCTGCACATCTCTTCATTCTGGCCTTGACCGTGCATACTGGAGGTCACTCGGTACTGAGCAGTACTGGGTACTGCTTAACATACATATGTTCAGGCAAAGCTCAAAGGCTAAGTAATGTTGAGTATCAGATTTAACATCCGCTTCAAACCAAACTGTGTAATTCTGCTTTTGTTTCTGGACATGAGGCCACATTTGGACGTTTGCGAATGCTGGAGGCGTGGACGCCTACACTGGCGACCTTGGATGTCTTTAATAGGTCTTTGAAGATCTTGAATGTCCTTAAAGGCGCTCAAACATTCGCTCCCATGACCTCCCGAATTGGTGAAGCACCACAGAGTTGATCCCAATCTCAGGCACGATTTGGGGTGGGGGTCACTATGCATGGTTGTGGCCTTGGGTGACGGGATGCTTGCTGGTGACATTGGGCCTCTCGCTCTATGTGGCATACTGGGCATTGAAGAGGCTGGAACGTTCTGTTGGGTTGCGAGAACCTTTGCAAGAGCAAACAGCAGATGTTTTTTGTTTTATTTTTTGGAGGTTTGTTTACTCCTTTCTCCGTTCTGCTTCCACCAACTTTGGCAGTGTACATTTGTATTGGAGGAAGAGCAAAGTTTGCTGAGAGGCGTTGCTATGATTTCTTCATCCGGAACAAACGCGTGCTGGGTGTTGTGTTGTTGGTCTTAGCTGGCAGCCATGGCTTTACCTCCAACTTCGGCCAGCCGCGGCTTTGGTGGTTTTGCTTGCTGATCCTTTGCATGTGGGCCATTGACAAAAGGAGACATTTTTGTTAAAACAATTTTGAATGATTCTGGAAGCAATCTTTTAGCTTGCAGGATGCTGTATGATGGACAGAGTTTGCTTTGCTTTGTTTGGTGGCAGCACCCTGAAGAGGATCAAGAGTGAAGCGAGCGGTATCAGCTGTAGCCAAGAAATCGTGAAGATGAAGGATTCCAAAGGCGGGCACTTTAAATCTGAGATAAGCACGCTTCAATCACTAAGCTTGACTCACGCTGTAGGCGTAGCAAACATGCATGAAACAGACGTGCATGAGGATCATGTCGTACCTTGATGATGAGGCTACTCTTTTTAGACAGCACTAGCAATTCGGATGATTCCTAAGTTACGGCGTTTATGGCTGGGGCGCTGTGCACGGCCTTTCCGAGGAAACTTCAACGGTGCAATCCTTGTCTTGAAATCCAAGGACACACGTGAACATGTGTGTGTGTGTCTGTGCCACAGAGGTCAGTATGTGTAGGCTTAGGCTTTCGACTTGGCTTGAAGACATATTGAACGTAGCATGCACCCTAGTTTCTACATCTGAACAGTGGGAAGTTTGAATCCTGAACAAACTAGAGGGATCACACTGAGATGTTACAGCTCTGGTGAAGGAATCTGATTTTAAACTTGGTGATGCATCCCAATGCGATGAAGATCTACATCACACAGAAATCACATAGAGCATCACTGGTTGTACAGGGCTGTTTGCATCCCAAAATTAGACCGACTGGCCAGCTGGTAGGAGACTTTTCAAGAAGTGGAACCTGGCGCGGTTTTGCTGCAAGTGGTTGGAGTGAATGGGCGGCATCCCTTGACGCAAGTCGCCTACCCTTGTGGAACCGGGTGGAAGTTGGAGTCCTTTGGCCAATAGATTCTGGAAGGAGGGCGACATGTCGCACATGCTTTCCTTTTTTTGATTGATTCCCATGAACAGAGCTCTAAGCATGCGTAAACACAAGTCAACTTGACACAGAGATCAGACACCCGAATCTCTTCCCAAATGTTCAGCAACGTGGACAAGGTTTTCTCATGTTTTCTCTTTCTTTCTCTGGTGGTGCGAACCAGCCACCATCGCACCCGTGTTTCTGTCGCCGACGTGGGTCCGTGTTCTCGAGCCAACGTTCCAAGCAGGGCTTTGTATACCGAAATCGCAGGTACCATATCCGGCTGATGCCGTCGGTGGAAAAGCAGAACTGGGCCCATCGGTTGTATGATCACGCTCGTGCGAGAGAAGGCTCCGAGGAAGGCATTGACTTGGAAGTCGCGGGACCTATGAGCACACTGGGAACCTTTGGGCAGGAAGAGCTCCTGAAGGATGTGCACCATATTATTTTGGTAGCTCGGATTGACCCAAAACGATGTATTTGGCTGGGAGTTATCTATTTCAGTTAAATATGACTGACTGACAAAAGATCATCTACTGAGGAGGATGAAATCCCACTGTTTTCAATTGGGTGATTGCTTCGGTGTGGTCGCAAATTGCTTTGCTCCGTCGCGGCACCTGTTTGGGATTTCTTGAAGGAAGACCCTGAGAACATTTGGAGGTAGGCCTTACAGTTTTGGCATCACGCTGTAATATGCTGTAATGAACAAAGACTTTGTCAAGGACCGCAGTGCGTTTAATGATGGCGCACGGCTGAGTGTCAGATACCCTTTGAACGCTTTTTGGCGCAAGCTGCAACAAATTCTTGCACCTTGTGCGCAAGAAGCGCCACTGCCAAAATTAAATACTATCCGCATCTGAAGGTCGCAGCTCCGGCATGCGCGAAGGTGTTCCCAACGACATGTCAAGACAAGTCCGGACTCTGCTACAACTGGACGAAATCATGAATTGAGCACCACGACGCGTTCGGTTTCCGACCCGGGGCAGGCTTTTGTCGATGTTGGTGATGTTGGTACATTTGACACTGAGGTGGCGATCGGTGTGGGCTTCACCGGCTGTGTGCACCCTCTTTTCCATGCATATCAAGAAGGCCTCCGTGCGGATCAAATCCGTCTTTGCATTCGGACGCCTTCTCCTGAGCAGCTGGGCTCATCTCGTTTTTTCTGGGATTGAATCAGACTAAATCTAGAACTGAGGTATGCTAACGTTGTGGAGGTGGTGTGTGGCGCGTATGGCCTACGTCGGAAGCAAGAACTGCACCTTTGCCAGAGGGTGACGAATAGAGCAAGGGGCAGGCATGGGCAGGCCAAACCCTCGAAGGAGTGCAATGGTCTAAATACTGTAATAAGAGGGCAATAGAGGGCACATTTTGAGGAAGCAATGCAATTACAGAACGGCTCCAAATATATCGGATACCAATTCAAAAGCCCAAGAAAATCCCCAACAGTTGCCCATCAAAATCTGCCTACTAGGCAATGGCACCATCGCCAGTTCGCCAACAAGTGTTGTATCTTTGCCTGGCAATGCTGTCTTCAAAAGTGCAAAGTTTTTCAGTGTACCACACGGCAACACGTCATAGTGAATATCATGTGCCCACATATGTGCAAGCACGACAGCGCCACTACAAGCAAGAACCAGCAAACATGCTCCTGAACCCGTCTGGAGCCTGCCAGCAAGTCAACGCGACAGCATGACCCGACTTCAGCATCTCAGGGTGACAACATGTCAGCATGTTAGTGTGACCCGTGCCAGCGCGCCAGCATGTCAGCGTGACACCACGCAAGCGTATCAGCGTGACAACACGACTCATGCCAGCCGACGGCATGGCAATACCTCCGCCTCAGGGAGACAGCATATGCAAAGTGCTCCCGAACTAAAGTAACAAGGACGCCACTAGGGGCTCCTGGCCTTACTACCAGGAACAAGAAGCTATTAGGGGCTCCTGGCATCACTAGTAGCAAGGACGCTACTAGGTTGGAGGCCACTGCGCTCCGGAACTTTCACCAGAACTTGCTGAAGCTCCGGAGCCTCCTCTGCAACCTCCTGAACCTGCTACGGGACCTCCGAAGTCTTTACTGTGGCTGATGATCTCTGAGCTTCGCTGTTGGGAACAAAAGAACTTGTGCCGCGCTTGGCCTGATGCCCCAGACAAATCTGCCAAGGTTAAATGGGGATGCTCATTCTATTCCCATGGCTGCAGTTTTCCTACTTGCTTATTAGTGCATAGAGCTAGTTGAAGAGTCGAACTCGAGCCCTTCACAGCCAATGAAACTCCCCGACAACTTGTGGCAGGGCCTCATTCCTTTGGCATCCTGTTGTCAAACAACTTGAACGACCAGATGCGCTGCTACCTACATGTTGAAAATAAGAGTTCTCTGACCGAAAAGGAACCACGAACCCAATCACCAACATCAAGGAAAAACAACTTGTTTTTCTCTAATGCGCTCACTTGGTGAACATTTCGCTTCTTTTCTGAGGAAAGTCTCCATCAGCGAGGACAGTGCACCCGGAGTGGATGTACCTGCTGACGAACGGCAAGACCGCAGCCAGTGGGGTAACATGCTGCGTCAAGAGGCCAGGACAAATGCGGGGAACACGGGATGCAGAGGCTCTCGAGAGGAACCATGCAGATCTGCCTCCAAACGAAAGACCAAGACCATGTCTCAGCTCCGCTGGTGTGTTGTGACAGGTGGAGGCCTTGTCTGGCTCGCGTGGAGGGCTTGTACTGCTCTTCACCTGTGGACCATCGCCTGCAGTAAAAGGAGTACAAAACCTCTTCTTGGACGACATGCGAGTTCGCATGGTGGCAGAGGCCTTCGGCTGAGTGCAAAGTTCCCGGCTGGGTCTCACCATGTGGGGCTTCACTGGCTGCACGTCAATTCGTGCATTTGCGGTTTCGAAGCTGATGCTGGAGTCTCTGGCTACCTCAAAGGAGTTTTAGTCCATGCTGTGTACGTTACTTACTATTACTTACTTGCAGGGCAAACATCGAACATCAAGCATCGGGTTCTGAAACCCTCATTGGATGGTCGAAGAATGGGAGCAGAGAGCAGCGGAGCTGCTGTCCACTCTCGAGGCCATGAGGATTGGTTTTCGGTTCAAAACGAATCCCAAAATGGGAGAGGAAAAGTGACAAGTACGCCAAATACATACAAAAACCAACTATGGCCCAAAGCTAATGCAGGCTGATGCACGCTGATTTGATTCAGAACTTTGCCCCAACGTGATTGCGATGGTTTCAAGATGCTGTGGCATTGGCAAAATGGGGCTTGCAGGATGCAGTCTGTGATGTTTCGGGCTTGTATGTCTAACATCCCATGGCACCCCATCTCTCCTACGGCGTGACGGAGAAGACTTAGTGCAAGCCGGAAGCGGCAGGATGTGGTGGGGCTCCTTCTTAGAACGCCTGAGGATTTGTACACACGAAGTCACGATGTTCAACCCTTTGCTTATTTGTGAGCAGGGCATCAATTCCATTTAGGTAGATGGTTGGCTTCAGCATGATCAAGCTAGAATGGGAGAGTCTCCCCTAAGCCTCGACTAGGCGATCGCAGAGAGTCTCCCTTCAAAGATGCAGGCAGAGATTCCGCATCAGATCGGATCACTGGGTTGGGTGGAACTGATGACATGGCTGTAGCCCACTAGTAGCGTAGCTTCTTGCTACTAGTAGCAAGGTGCCTCTCATAAAGAGGGTTTCTTGGCCTTGCCGAAACTTTCGGATGAAGGATGACGCCAGGTGGCCACATGACCACGACGAAACAGGATGACTTGGTTGCACATTTGCAAAGTGATGCAAAGAAATCACAGCTTTTAATAGCTTTTCAGGTGGGGGCAGTCTACGATTGCTTCTGCTACCTAGAGGAAGCCAGCAAGAAAGCTGCCGGGAAGCTTGCAGACGCGAAGCTCAAACGGTGGAGGAAGCAATTTTTCAACGCTGACTTAGTTTCTCAACTCAGATATCATCAGCTTGAATGAATTGTTTAGCCGAACTGAAGTGCTTGATATTGGAAGGGAAGCTCAACCTTCGTTAGGCCCTCATGTTTTGCTGACCAGCATTGCTCTAAACATGTCTTAGAATCTTAGAAAATGCTTAGAATTCAATATGTTCTTGATTGTTCTTGGCCCTCCTGGCTTCAGCCAAGCAGAATTCAGTAGACCGATGAAACTGACCTTTCGATGGTACCTCGGTCATCCCCTCTTCAAAATGTGCAAATCTGAACCTCCAAGGCGTATGTGTTGCTGCCCACTGGATCGGCCACTCCCTCTGACTGCGTGGGGACACCCCAGGGACCTGCAACTTCTTTGTGCACAAGATGTTACAGGGCTGGTGCGAAGGATAGAACTGGTGGACTTTGCAGAAGAAAGCACAAGCCTCCAAGTGTATTGTGAAGTTCACTATCGTTCACTGAAATCATCAAAAGCGCCAAGTTGCACCAACTCTTCGCACACAAAAGACAGATGTGCTTCATGGTTCCATCGGAGACAGGTTTCCAGCCGCATTTGGACGGCCGCGAGCGCCGCGAGCGACCGTTTCTCGCTGACCGCATTTGGTGCCAAGGTCCTTTGTGTGGTGGCATTATATGCTGGGCACCCAGTTGTGGTCGACAGACAGAGTTACACGTTTCGTTCGATTGTTTTAGTCTTATTGTCCGTTTCATTTTGAAAACAGATCTCGAACTTGCACAACTCTCCAAGCGGGATCGAACAGCCAGGATTGGTCCTCGGTTCCTGCCGATGGCTCGACATTAACTTCAGAGGCCTGGAGCCCTGCCTGTACGGCAGCGTCACTGTGCGATACTTTCAATTCGATCAGTTCTTGTACTAGCAATGGCCTCCAACCTACTAGCAATGGCCTCCAACCTAGCG